CTATACCCTAAATATACACAAAATTATAGTAATAAAATCTTCATTAACTGTTTTTTTACCACACGGTAAATAATTATTACATTATTTTTCACTATGAAACCCCTTATAATTGTAGTTTGTAAGTATATAAAACAATAAATTGCTTATTATCGTGATTATTAATTTCAAAGTCAACTTGAAAGTGCCAACAAATTCAAAGTATCATTTAGCAGAAGCATATTAATAAAAAACATAACATTTTCTGACAAAAAACTTCTATCCCTTATAATATTAAATTACTTATATACAAAATTAAAATAATAAAATGTCGTTTACCTACAAAATCATTCCTTTATGATAGGATAACAATAAATTACATAACAAAGTAAAAAAAATGCAAATAAATAAGATAACTATAAGCTCAGCTCCGCAGTTCTGGGTGCACTTGCGATGTATTGTCTTGAGCCAAAATTTCATATAATAGAAAATATATTAATTTAATAAACTTAAGAATATTTCTGAAAAGCAACACAGCGCACTTCTATTAGTTTTAAAAGTTGAAATCTTAAAATAATTAATATCATTATTTTATACAACACTAAAATATTTATTTTTAATTATAACCAAAATCATGTCATGTATTTAAAATTTAAGTTTAATCTGGCAACTCTTCAGAATTGTTTTTTTTCTAAAACTGAATTCTTAGAACTTTTTAACTAACATAATTATATAAGTTTATTTCGTTTTTTCATTGGGAAAACAGACAATTTTATAATTAAATCAGTCATTCAAACAAAGAAAATTTAATTTTGTAAATTTTGAAGTAAACATTGTATTATTATCTCAAACAAACTTATATTTACCTTCAGGTATTAACTTAAACAATAAATTTATATAGGTATTATTGTTAAGATATACATTTGTAAGTGACCGTATATTCTATTTTAAGTTTTTCTAATCTTAATATTATTATTGTTTTATTTAAAGTTAAAAACGTCTTTAAATTATATTATATTATGAAAATTAAAATGATAAGAAATTCCATGTACACCTGTAGATAGGGTACTTAAACGTTCCGGTTGAAAAACACGAAAGGATTTTTAATCAGACTTATACTTCTAGACATGCCTTTTGTAACTAAAGTGTTTCGATAATATTTTCAAAACAATTATATTAAGAATGTGATTTTTAAGATGGAAATAAACGATTTTACGTCATTCAAACGACTTGGTTTCACAAATCTAGAACCCAGTCATAACATTGGTCGAGGTTTTATTTTGCGGTTTTTAACTCTGTTCGCGGAGTGTAAACAGCGGAAATTTCATTGGTTAGAGTTATGCTTACGGATTCTCAAGAACCAGACGTCTGGCGCGAATAAAACACTCATACTACAAACACACACACATTATATTAAATATTGTTATATGAAGTGTATACATATCTACAGTTGTTGAGTGTTGTTGTCTGGGGACGAACTTTATATTATTATATTACATGTTGACAGATTTCGTAAAGCCGTCTTAAAGTTATTTTTTTTTTTTAAAATAATTATTGCGTATCTTGGTAAAATACTCGTATAATATAATTACTAATACCTAATATTTTAAATCCTTTTCCGTCTATAAAATTATAAGTGCGCATAAAGAAAAAAAAACTGTAGACGCCTCACATAATACCTATTATTGTACCTTTGTATAATATTGTAGCTATGAACACGCTTACCTTATAACGTTTTTAAAGATCGATTGATAAAAACTTCGTCAAATGCCGGTGTTAATTCGATCGATTTACTCGTGAATAATACGTGATCTTGATTCTCGAACAACGATTTTCGTCCATGACCTGTCATCGACGACGATATTACAGTAACTGTCGTTTTAAAAAACGTTCCTCTGCCCCCCCTCCACCATACGCGACCAACACGTTGATGAGTGGCACTAAATATACAGTATACGTACTAATTAATGTATTTATACATATTCTATTAACAACGTATTATTTTGTTAGAGTTTAGACTACACATCATCGACGAAAATATAATAATAATGATAATAATAATATACGAATATCACAAGATGTATAAACATAATGTCATAATGGTATCGTATGTCTGTCGCGTCTCGTAAACAATATAATAATTATTATTTTTATGTTTATGTGCGTTGTATTTGAAAAACAACAACCGATTATTATCATTTTTATCTGTACAATACATATTTTATTGTCTTTATGCGTAGCTTTTATAAACAACGTTCTCTATTCGTCTAGTCAAAATAATAATTACCTACGGATTTATTTTTTTATTAATATAATAATATTATATAGGTACGTAATATATGCACCTAATTGTAACATCCGCAAACAATAAAATAAAGTGCAAAGTCGCGTTGAGACTTTTTTTCAGGCACGCTTAAAAGTCGTTCGAGCGTGTATTTTCACTACGTTGCGTTTTCGTTGTAATAATAATAATAATATATTAATACAAAGTATACACAGCACTACAGCAGCAGAGGTGGTTAGGGTTAACGGGAATGCCGTATTTTTACAATAATTTACATGTTAACATTACCACGCAGACTAAATAATAACATTAATAATGGATACAGCAATTGTATGCGTGTGTGTGGTACCTACCTACCTATCACAATTTAATCGCCGTAATAATGTACTCGGGTTTCGGATTATAGTCATGTAATTATAAAAATACATTACCTATACAACAACAATAGCAGTGTGTAAATGAAATTACGCAGAACGGAATAATAATTGTTGTGTAAAACAAATAACTTGGAATGTATTATTTATTTTTCACATTTATTACATCCAATTAATAATATTGTATCTGATTGGTTTTCCTGTTATTTTCGTACTTAACAGAGTCGATGGCCGTAACAGTTAGGTACCTACCTATCAAACGCAATTAACATTGTAATTTACATTTTATGGTAACACACATATTGGCATATTATATCAACGGTAGCAAATTTAATGTCTATATTGAATCGTCAGTATGGCACTCATTTATGTTACAGTGTACTTCATAAATTTAAATATTTATCGACGAATCGTGTTTAAATTAAACTGATTGCATCAGTTGCAAAATAAAAATTGATAATGGAAAATGTCAAATTTACGATACGGCGGTAGTATTCATAATGTAACAACGTTTGAAGGGTATGAAAAAGAAAAAAACAATGGCAGGAATCAATAAAGTTCAGTGGTTTTACAATATTCGATATATAAATTGTATAGTTATTATTTTCAAAATCATCGTTATTCGGATAACGAAATATTTTAGACACAGCATAATAAATAACAAAAACAAAACATGCGGGGCGGAAAAACTTCCTCAAAGTTTAAACATCATTCATACCTAGTCCGGAAGACTTAAAAATAACCTTATACACGAATAAACATGCCGATTTCCGGACGTGCGTTGGTTAAAAAAAGTAAATAAATAGTCCCTTTAATATAACAATACGCACACTATAATAATAGAGATTATTATTCTAATATACGCTGCAACGGTAAAATAATAAAGGTAGGTACGTCGTCAGAGATTCTGTTCACAAGAAATACGTACGTATAGTAGTCGGACGTGTCAGCTAATTTCGTAAATGAAAACTGAAACTTACAAGCAAAACGACAGTCGACGAATTAACGATAACTGCAGTTAAAGGTAAAACAGCTCGTAACACATTATCGTATTATGGCACATTCGTTCGCCCCGTCTTCCGTTTATACTCGGTGCTGTCTCAAGTCCGGCATAAGTGCACGTGTCTCGACGACCGTTACGGACTCGGTAAAAAAATTTTCCGCCCGCAACCACCAATAGTCAACTCTGAAGACGGAGACAAAAAACTACCCCCGCTTGCACACTGACCGCCGGGGGGGGGGGACGAATCAAAGTGTAACGGGTCGGGTAAATATTATAATGTGATACGATTTCTGGTAAATTATTACGTACAATAATTATTATTATCGTTATAACGCATCGACATCGATGCCGTTGAATAATAAAGACGATAACGACGACGACGACGACGATGATGATGATGGTGATATAATGACGGTGATGATGATGATGATGATGATGATAACAGTATTATAATATTATAATATAGTAAACGGAAATATCAGCCGTACACGAATCGTACCTAATAAAAACGGCGCGCGTACAGTGTACATAAAAAAAAAATAAAATACGTCTGATACCAGCCGCCGCCGCAGACACGGACCGGAGGGGTGCCGCCGCCGCCGGGTGGGCTGGACAAGGTTACCAGAACATGAACGCCGCGAGGCCTAGACGTCTAGACGGTCCTACGTGTCGGTGGCGGAGTACCGGGACGGGTGTGATGGAGGGGGGGGGAGAGATTTGCGGCGGGGAGACACCGGCCGGCCGGTCGGTCGGCCGAACGGCAGCTGTGCGACGGAGTGGGGAGAGGAAGCGGCACGGCGGTAGCCGTGTGGTAGAAAGGACGCGGCGGCGGCGGCGGCAGCGTGTGCGTTCGTACTGCGTGTGTCTGTGACCCGCGTACGCGTATTTGTACGTTTGCGCGCGCGCGAGTCGGTCGCCCGTCCACCCGACGACCACCGGGACGCGGCGACGATTATTACAAGCCACGACGGCTGCCTAGAGCCTACATGATAATAGTAAATACATCACATAGTATTATCATCATTGTAGCATGAACCGCAGCAGACTCGTTACCGCCGCATCCGGCAAAAATAAAAAAATAAAAAAAGTTAAAAAATTAATAACGAACAGTAGTAATAATAATAATAATAATAATAATAATGATAATATTATTATTATTATTAAAACAATTACGAAGGAAAAAAAAAATAAAAAAATCCTTTCAAACGCCGTTACCCTCACACACCCCAATGGCATCCCTCGCCGCCCGGACCGCGAAGACGACGAAATATTATGTTTTCCGTTTTCTTGTCGGCGATGGATTATTATAGTGAAAAGACACGATCATCTCGCGCCTCGGGCGATCGATCGCGTACACACTTACCATGTTTGTAGAGCGACCGGTCTGCCCTGTGGATTGTGCGCGGAATGACGAAGGCGACGGTGGTTGTGGCGATGATGCACGCCGAACGTATTGCGTGGTAGAGTGCAGTTGCAGCCGGTGTTAACTGTACTTGATGGGCACGATGACGGTTGTACGGCGACGGCGGTGGCAGTGTAGACGGATCATTGATAATTTTTCCGGTCTTTTCGACGTTCAGGAAATTAAAGGCGATCGTTGTCGCGACCGGCTTTGAAAATGATAACGGCGAAATCAAATCGTTGCTGTGCGCGCGAACGTCTTCGGCGATCTATAAGGCCGGACGACGGATATTTATTACGATTAATTTTGTCGGGACGGCTGCGCGGACGTACACGTACTGTTGCGGCGGCGGTGCGTCGGCGACTAATCGTGAAACGTGAGGACGGCGGGACGACTAAAAAAAGAAACGGGCGTGTGTAACGACGTTCCCGCTGCTGGTAACTAGTGAGCAGAACGCGTGAGCGCGTGTGTATGACCCCCGACCGACCAAGGTGCCTCAACATTTTCGTGTCTGCGCCCACGTTCAGTACGCACCTTGCCGACACCGCCGGCTCCCACCACTTACGCGACGCCGCCGCCGCCGCAACCGCCGTCGCTCCCATCGACAGCGGCTGAGACACTATCCAAAAGTTTTCCGTTTGGTAATTCCATTTCATTTCGCCTCGAGCGTAAATTTTTTTTTTTTTTTTTAAGAACTCCTCTGTTCGCTCTTCCAGCTCTCCCCGCATTCCCCGTCATTCCCGTCCAATCCACACACATCTAACCACCCGCGCTTTATGCGGTCACCCCGATGGCGATCCCGAAAACGTGACTGAAAAATGTGTACCTACCTTTATAAAAAAAAAAAAAAAAAAAACACAAATCCGCACAGAAAATATTCGGGGCAAAAAGAAAGCCAAACCGAAAGAGATAAAAATTAAAACGTAGCACGACGGCGGAATAATTGGCAAGCACAGTCGTCATTGATTGTTATGTCTGACACCTTGGCTCGAGTTCAACACACCCCGACCCCACCACCACAACCACCGCCGTTGTCGTATATTATACATGTATACCGGTAGCTGCAGCTGCGGCGAGGCTCTACGACGTCGGTGGCAGCATCAGCATCACCGCCGTCGGGTGTCCCGACAAAATTGTGCGTATACCTTCTCTTCTATTCGCTTCTTCCATCTCTCTTCCTACTTTTCTTCTGCCCTCGATAAACGATATTATGTGCTCCTTACTCTTCTCCATTTATGTAGCTACCCCCCACCCAAACACTCACAGAGACAACCCTCGCTGATCATGACCCGCGGAGGAATTTTCTTTTTGAGACCGATCCAATAAGTCTCGCTAAAAGCGTAGGAAGATCGGAATTATATATTTGGAATGCGCGGCCGTAATAAACGCGCGCTTGCCATATTATAACGCGATGTGACAACTAACGATCTCGTGGTGTTTTTTTTTTTTTCAAATTTTTCCGATGAAGTGGAGAGGAGAAAAACTTCACCGTCCGCTACATATTCGTATTATATATTAAACATAATAATAGGTATATATATATATATATATATATATATATATATATATATATATGTACGATTATGTCTAGCACTTTACACGGCGCACGTTAACCCGTATTATTATTATTATTATTATTATTATCATCATCATCATTGCTATTATAGTATTATGGAACACGTCTGACAAAGAATAGAAAACACTAACAATCAATTAAGCTTTCATGATAAAACAGTATTATTACCAAGAATATTATGAAGCGTAATAACCGTAGATGTAACAAAATCGACATTAAGTATAATGATATACTAATATAGTATACACTACACGTTAGAGGTATGAAAACGAATAGCATAATAATATATTATATTATTCGTTGCTGCAATACATTTAACATGTGCATTTCATTCGATATAATATTTTTTTTTTCAATGTGATACGTTATTATTTCAACATTATAACGTTACATAGGTATATTGTCAACGTGAATTATAATATTATTATACGACATATTTTTATAAAAACCAAAAAATGAATATTTTTAATTTTCATTTTAAAATTATTGAAGTTTTAAATGTTTCCAAAAGCGAATATTATACAATAACATACATCGTTTTATTATTAGGTATGCATTTCTACAAGAGAAATCAAAGTTTGTCTAAAGAGTAATGCAGATGTTTCGATACCTTATCGCCCGTAAATTACAAACCTATTTTGAAATTATATTCATGTACTACATAAATATTATAAAAACGCAATTTTAATTTAATATACAAATTACTTACATTGATTATTGAATTTACTCAAAAATATCGAATTTATACTAAAATGTATAGAAAGTAAACCGAAAAAGTCAAATATCTTAAAAATTATACTATACTAGATATATTTTGTATAAATATTTGATTTGAAATTATAATACTAATATTTTATAAAAATCTCAAGTATTTATGATTATTTGTTTTTAACTATAGCATTAAAATAAATCAATTTGATCGAATATTGCTATTCAATTTTCCAGTGGTTTTTTTTTTTTTGTTCAGATTTTCAAAATATTTCGAAAAGTTCTGGAAAATATCTTTTGAATTTTGATCTTCCAAACTAGATTTAATTTTCTTCCAAAAATCTCTACCAAAATTGAAGATTTAAAAACTTGTATAGGGCCAGATGATGATGATATTAGACACACACACAAATTAAAATCGATTATTCATTCATCAATTCATTCAAAAATAAAAATAAAATCATTATAATAAAATAATATAAGTACACAAATTTATATATTATTCAATTAATAATGACATATAATTGTTACGGTAAATGATGTTAAATGGAAATTAACGTTATTTACCGGTTATTAACGTTATTTACCAAATATACAGGTAATTATCGTTATAAACTGGATAATCACGTTAATGACCAAATACACAGGTAATTGATGTTATAAATCAGATAAGCGCATGAATCTCAAATACAACAATTTGAAAAATTATGTAAGTACCCAGATATTTTTAAAAATAGAATAAATGCATTATTATTTTTTATTTATTTTTACAAGTTTTACTCCCATGACATTTAATATAACATAATTTTTCAGCCCCAAGGTAGGCACAATGCTTATTGTTATTACAGCTAGTCTTGCAATGACAACGCTGGTACCTTCGAGGGCTCGCAACCGAATTATTACTAGCTACTTCCCTCAGTGTCAACTGTCTACCATCTGCTAATTTTATCACATTGTCCATGTCTAATAGATTTTATTTGCTAACAGCTATTTTTGGAATGTGAAATAATATTTTTAGAAAACTATATTCCGTATTTATAAAATAATAAAACAAATTTTAATTTTAATAGTATATTTTTTCATTAAGAATTAACTTACAGAGTTTGTATAAATCATGTTCAACTTGAGTGACAACTGATAGTATATTTTGCATAGAACCACGAGCTCTATCAACGTTTGGTATAAATACACATACAGTTAAGCCTATTTCAAGCTGAGGAAACTTTTCTTTAGAAAATTTCATCATTTCCTCTCCTTGTTTTTCTAAATTTTTTTTTGAATTTTTACATGCAATACAAATATTTTCTTGACAATCATCAAAAAAATATTTAAAATAATTTTCAAATATTTATATTTTAGTTTTATTTTTGTTATATTTAAAATTCGGAAATTTATCGTTAAATAATTAAAAAATATTTAAGTACCAAGTTCCGAATTTTTTTCTGCGATTTCTATGATTTAATTTCCGATTTTGTCTTCTTTGATGATTGGTTCTTTGGTTATTTTTTTAAATCTTCCACAATAACCTCTTTTATTTTATAATCAGATCAAAATTTCCCAAATCATACGGTTATTAACGTTATTCACTAGAAAATAACGATAATTCCCACATTCGTAGGTAAATAACGTTAATAACCGGCGAATAACGTTAATTTCTGATATAACATCATTTACCGTAACATAATAATGTTGAAGTTAATTCTGAAAATGTATTTTTATATTACATTAAACAAGAATATTACTTTATTGAATATGTTTTAAATAGCAGCTAATAGGTACTTACAATATGTTCTGAGCCATTAGATTTGTAATATAAATCATATGGTTTTCTTGATAGATCCATAAGTGATAATGAACTAAAAATTCAGATTTTATGTATAGTTAATTTATTGCATATAATGCATTCATAACGCAATTATACGTGTTACTGATTTATTGTGACTAAAGTGTTGAAAATGTTTTAAGTTTAAAATTTTTATAACCCGCAATGTCATGTTTTTTGGCTACAAATACTTTATTCACTTCCTACTATATATGTATAAAATGTATATATATCTTAATATATCATTTAATAATTTCCGTAATCGAATGTCTAATATTACAGTTATTGAATTTTTTCTTTTCTTATGCTCGCTAAGTATTATTACGTCCTTCAATATTATAGTTCATCTGACTGACATTGTCAGTAAATTTTGAGTACCTACCTACTTCTACGAATACATTTCAGGCCAAGGAAATAAATATACTGTCTCAGACATTTATTTTAGAAGGTTAGATAATATACATTATTTTCACATAGTCTACTATTTAATTTTGCATTGTATAAACGTCTTTAGTAATATTAAATAAATACATACTAACTAAAATAATAGATAAATATTATATTTATTATTAGATTTATAAAAGAGCCAATATAGGAATACATTTTTTTTTTATATTTAGCAGTCATTCGATGTATGCGTAACAGTTGTCTTGTCTCAAAAACTCAAATGGTATATATTATATAATAATACCAAACAATTATAGAAATTCAAATTTGAAATAGAAATAATGATTAGGTACCTTATTACGTTTGAATTTATTTTTATTTAATTATCATAAGTCGATAATGTCGAAATGTTTAATATACTATATTCAGATACACAATAAGAAAATATTATCTCTATCTAAACTTTTCAAAATCAATTGCATTCATATTACATACGAATGCAATAATAATAGTAATTATTATTAATAATTATGAATATTTCGTATGTATACAAATAATATGTTAATACCCATTATATACAAAGGATTTAGGTCCCCTGTAAAGAATAGGGTTATCAAATTGAGGAAGTTCGCTGTTCTCATTACGATAATAATGGTCGATTGTTTATGACATAGTACGGGTATATCAGTTACGTACACAATTGTTTATTAACCTATTTACTTAGATACAATTGATACAAACGCCATTTTTGTTATATAGTACCTGTTATAAAATAAATGATAGTATTGTCTGTAGCTTTCCTCGCATTGAGCATAATATTATAAAATATTAGTTCATCAGTGAACTCTCACTTAAGGTAAAACATTAAGGAGAATACAGCAAATTTCTTTTTTTTTACTAAACTTTCAGTACTTGTATCTTGTACATGTATTACAGTATAAATTATAATAAACTGGTT